TCATGGGGATCTTATAATTGGAACAGAGGATGATATCGAAGGAGAAGGCTGGGATGAAATCGGCCGGGACGAGGTGGGGCAGGGGATCTTACCATCGGAAGAGAGGATGATATCAAGGGAGAAGGCGGGGATGAGGCGGGGGAGGGGATCTTATAATCGGAAGAGGGGGAGCAGTAGGACATAAAAGTCGTAGAACGAGAAAGGGAGAGAGAGAGGGATTGATGAAGCTAGACCATTCATGTATGAAAAAGATTGACAAGATGGTTCCTATTGGAATGGGGCCGCACCCAAGGCTGAAAACCGCACAAAAGTCTAAAGGATTAGGTTCTGAAAGCTTCCAAGAAGAAGGTAGTTCGACCTGTGCTTTTATTGATTGTTAATTAACATAATAAGTTATAAGTAGTTATCTGTCATAATATCCCATCCGTTTCTGACGGCATATCGCCCAGCTGAGCACTACCCCCGCGGTTGTTTCTTATAGTCCAAGTCAACATTCCCTACCATTTATTATCAGTATGACATCATATTTGCCTCCAGATGTACGAATGGATCAAGGACCTGGACCCCTGTTAAACCCCAAGGGGAACCTGACCAAGTGCGTTTGGTGTCACCTCCTTTTCTTTGGTGCACGGCGTCTTGATAATTTTACCTTTTAAAAATGAAGATTCCAAATTACACCGTAAAACTTGAATTTATAAATTTCACATTTTCCTCATGCTATGTATGGCTATTTAGGAGATCCATATAGGTCGGTAACTAAGACTTACGTCAAAGTACCAATTTTTATTTGTACTTTTTGATTTGTTCAAGATATTAAGTGTAAATGGTGGCCTCACTGTTTTGAAGTTTCGTTAAGATTTCAGACCTGGTCGCGCAATCCAAGATGTTGGTGAAGCTTGGATTAAACCGAAGTTCGTACATCGCACTTATTTATTATAGTATGCCTTCATATGTCAAGATTATGCCCGACCCATTTTGATTTACTGATAACTTAGGAAGAAAGTCGCAATATTCACAAACTCGTTTTTTGCCGGAATAAAAGAAGCTCCTTTTTCGCTTATGTTGGCAAAATAATTATACATGATTTTCCGTTTTGAACTTATCTTCCGAGAAGATCATCTACGTGCCATAGCGAGGAGGGGAGCGGGGGTCGAACGCATCGTCAGCGCCGGCGAGGTCGAGGTGGCGAAATAGGTCGAGGTTGTGGTTTAATCAAACGGGTCTGTAACGGAATATTTACGGTGGTGGCGTTCTCAGCGGTCAACAACACCAATCCATGGACCAAAACTCGGATCCTTCCCTCCTCAACCAGGCCTCCGGCAGTGCTGAGTGCACCTTCTCGTGGGTCGCGTGCTCGGGCCATGCTCTGTAGACCGATGCCGCCGGCGAAGCCAGGACGATGCAAAGGAAAGCGAGGAGGATGACAGCGTCGCGCCGCATCGCTGCCAGATCCATGGCGGGGAGGGGGGACAGCTGAATGGTACGAAGGTTCTAAGTGAGGAAAGTTGAACAGAGATGATACTTTCCTAGAAAAAATGGGTAGAGAAATGACGGAATATTAGGAGGGGAGAGACGGGGAGACGGGGAGACGGGGAGAAATCAGGTCACTAGGGGTGAGGAATATAGAGGATGAGATCGGATGGGATAAAGCCGGCCGGCGGAGGTAGGGGAGAGGACCTTATAATCAGAACAGGGGGAGGGGTAGGGCAGAAAAGTCATAGAATGAGAGACAGAACGAGAGGAAGAGAGAGAGAGCGACGCAGTGAGAGAGAGAGATTAATGCTAGTCTGACCTGAAATGCTTTAATTATTTCTAAATTAACATAATAAATTATAAATTGATGTCTATAGTAATAGCCCATCACTGTCAGATCGGATAGCACCTAGCTGTACAGTAGCCCGGCTGTGGTTTTTCATACTCCAAGTTAACTCTCCCTACCATTTGTTATCCGTATGACATCATCGTTGACCGCAGATGTTCAAATAGAACAACGACGCGGACCCGTGTTAAACCCCAAGAGGAACCTAACCGAGCGCAGGTTTGGTGTTCCCTACTTTGCCTTGGTGCACGCTCTCTTGCTGATTTCGCCTTTTAATTAATAAGATTCTAAATTACCCCATAAAAGTTGGATCTCCAAAATTCGCCTTTCTCATGCTATATATGGATATTTAGGAGATCCATATTAGTAGCTAACACAGATTTACCTCAAAGAACCAATTTTTATTTTGTGATTATTAATTTCGTCAAGAATTCAGTTGCACATGCTGATCTTGTTTTTTTGAAGTTTCACTCAGATCTCATGCCAGCTTGCGCAATTCAAGGTGTTGGTTAAGTGAGATGGCAAGTCTCCGACGTCAGCCATTTCCTCCGTATTCTTCCGTGTCCTCCCAAATGCCCAGCGTTGCTTCATATCATTGGAAAGCCCACCGTCCCTGCCTGAATAGCTTCGACACCGTCACCCCTTGGTCTCTTAATCACCCAACTGGCCCAGTCATCGTTAGAAGATCCTAATGGTCTGCTGCTCTTCCTGGTGTGCTGTCGAGTTCCTATCGTCTGCAGTGGATTTGTATGCCCGACTGATTCCTACTAGTGGATCTGTGACCTCAAACCACGTGGGTGATTAATTGAAGCCAGGCTTTCAACAGTATATCAAGATGACTGAATCATTATCATATTGTTGTGCAAATGTGTCAATGATTAACCCTACAAATTCAAGTGTGTCAAACATAATAAATAGGAGAATTGTAAAACAAAATGACTATCAATTCAATGCCACCATTATGATATCATGGTACCACTTAGTGGTGAGCATCCTCTTCCATTGTTAGAGTTCTTTTTTTTCTCTCTACCATGATTATGCTTCCATCTTCGTCATGTTTATTATCAATATATAACTAAGTCCAATTTGTTAGGTGAGAGTAGCTTGTTTTTGAGAGGAGCATTGCAAATTTGAAATATCAGAAGAGGTTGTTGATGAAAATATAAGGGGAAGAGTTCAATAAAGAAGAGAGAAGTACAAGGATCTTAGAAATAAATGATGTCGATTTTGCAAATCCCATTCATGAGAGAAATCGTGGATTTCTATCTTGATACTTCAAACATTTAATTGTAGAATTAAGATATGAGCATGTGTACTAATAGGCAGATCATGCATAGAAGTTTTCATATAAAGTTTTATAAATAGAAAATAATTTTAGAAAGAACTAAATTTTCAAATGGTTGGTCACATCAAAATAAAACAAGAAGTACGTTAAAAAAGAATTTATCTCTTTAAAAATATAGTTTATACATATATATCTATTCTATATAGAGTGGTAGACTTCAATACAATATGCTGACTAGAGGTCAGCATTTGAATCCTGCCATAGGTCAAGTTTTCAATGCAAGCATAGGTCAGGTTCGCAGTTTATTGGACATCCACAAGCACCATCTATTGAGGTCGACAAAGGTAGAGATGATGAAATGCTCAAAAGAAGTCACAAGTGGCTTTCTCAAACTCATTTTCTTTTGCGAATAGAAGGAGGGCATACTCGTCATCTAAATAGTTTGAGACCATGTGCTGGCATGGGCAATATATTTCAGATGTAACAGGATTGTGATAGTTAGACTCCTATTCCCTAGCAATAGTCACAGGAAGTGGCTCCCGGTTACCCGAAGATCCCGCCATTGAGGAAGATGACGCAGGGGATGAGATGATTTATCAGGTATCTTCTTCGTCATCTAATTATGTATACATTCAAAAAGATAATAACCTTAATTTGGTGTATCTTCGGTCATTAATTTCCTTTCCAAACAGTATTTTTCCTCTTCTCTCCTATTGCCTGTCTTTACAGGAAAAAATGCACTGGTGTCGGTGGAAGCCCCCTGGGGCTAAGCGTTTCGATCCGGTGGTTCGGGTTGGGGGGCATTCGGCGTCTTTAGGGGAGATTTCCTTAGCAAAGCCCGGGTGTTATCAGGGTCCTTCCACAGGAACCACCTCTGGCGACAACACTGCGGCGCGCGCCGGCGCGCACTAACACAATGGCCGAGCACAGCGGCACGGCACACGCACTCGTTGGCACGACACCGGCACCCGGCGGCACAAAACCCGAGCGCATCGGCGCTACGACGTTGTGCACCAAAAGGCACGGCGCAAGTTGACAACCTACGTATGAAGAAGCTTGACCACACGGTTCCCATTAGACCGGGGCCGCACCAAAGGCTGAAACCTGGACAGAAGTCTAACAAATCAGTTTCGAAACTCTTCCAGAAATATGGTAGTTTGATCTGAAGATGCTTTTATCATTTTTAAATTACCATAATTAATTATAAATTGTTATTCGTAATAATACAGTATCCCTCTAAGATGGGATTGCGCCCCGCCATCAATCGTTATCAGTAGGACATCAACTCTGACTATTATTTGTTATTAGTATGACATCATCGCTGACTGCAGATGTTTGAATTGATCAACGACTTAAACCCCAAGGGGAACCTGACCGAGTTTGGTTTAATGTCCCCTCTTATGCTTTGGTGCACGACGTCTTCCTAATTTTACCTATTAAATAAGAAGATTCAAAATTACACCATAGTTGTTTACCTTGAATTTCTGAAATTCACATTTTCCTTGTGGTATCTGTGGTTCTATAGGAGCTTCATATGGCTTTGTAACGAAGATTAACTTCAAAAGCACCCAGTTTTCGTCTTTATTTTTTCGACTCGGTCAACATATCAGGTTTCACATGGTGACCTTGCCCAGCTCGCGCAATCCAAGGTGTTGATAAAGGTTGTGGGACTAAACCAAACTCCATCCGTAGTAATTTTATTAATTATTCTCCTTATTTGAAGACTATGGCAGAGCCACTTTTGTAGACTAATAAGTCGTGGAGAAAATCCGCAAGAATGACAAACTTGCCGCAATAAAAGCTCCCTTTTGCTTACGTTGCCCAGTTTTTGCTCGAAAAAAATCATACATGGTTTTCCATTTTGGTGTGATTTTCGGAGATCAGGTTCGTGCCAGTCTACAATGCTACCCATAGCGCGGAGGCGGCGGGGGCGGCCAGTAACCGGGGACCATGGGGGAACGCATCGTCGGCGGCGGCGATGGAGCTTAAGTTGGCGGTGGAGGCCTGAAGCTGCGAATCGGCAGTCTGAGCTGACTGGCTATCGGTCTTGATTGTGGAGGTGGTGGCAATCTCGGCGGTCGACGCCCACTCTTCTTGTCGGACCGCCACGAATCCACGGGCCAAACCTCGGATCCTTCCCTCCTCAATCTGGCCTCCGCCAGCACTGAGCGCACCTTCTCGTAAGTTTGTAAGTCGCTTGCCCGGGCCAGGCTGTGGAGACTGATGCCACCAGAGAAGCCAGGAGGATGCAGAAGAGAGCGAGGAGAATGCCAGCGTCGTGCCGCATCGCCGGCGGCAAGTGCAATGACGGAAAAAAAGAGACAGACCGTGCAACTGGACGACACGGCGGAGGGGAGTTCCGCCGACAAGCAAGTGCAAGGCTGGATAGTAGGAGAGGGATAGACGGGGAGAAATCAGGTCACTAGGAGCGACGAAGAGAGAGGATGATATCGAAGGAGGACGGGATGAAGTCACCGGGACGAGGTGGAGGGGATCTTATAATCAGAAGAGGGGAGCGGTGGGACATAAGACTCGTAGAATAAGAGATGAAACATGGTAGAGACCACACGGTTAACCTAGGTTGAACGCTCACGTGTGCGGATTATTGACCACACGATTCTTGTTATATAATAATATCTCCACCCTCTAAGATGGGATAGCACCTCCATATCATCGCTGGATGCAGCTGTATAAAAGGATCAGCGACGTAGACCCATGTTGAACTCTTGTTTGCACGGCTTCTTGCAAATTTTATCTTTTAAAAAAAATGATATTTAAAATTATCTCATAAAACTTGAATTTTTAAAGTTCACACTATTAGTGGGTAGCTAATGCACCATTTTTATATTTTATTTTTCAACTTTATCGACAAATCAATTTCATATAGTGATAAGTTTTTATTTTCATGAGTTATTAATTAATTAAAAATATATTTTGAAATTTAAATCATGATAAATAGACTTATATCTATGTTAAATTAAGAAAATATTTTTTTAGTTAGTTATGTAATTTTTTGGCTAATTATGTCATTTAATGTGAATTTATATAATCTTTATAATCTTTATTTTAGAGATCAAATAAAATAGATATAAAAAGAGGGGACCCACTTGCTAGCCATGGCCACACGTAAGGCAGAAGCATAGTCAAGCAAAGTCTTGAGCATAGACTTGAGTGGCTAAGGATCAAGTGAAGGCACATGTACATCACTCCCCTTCCACATCACTAGTGACCAACCAAGTGTGGGACAAAAAGTTGTCATACACGTGAGAGAGTACATTGACAATCAATTTTTTTTTACTATATATGTATCTCAAACAATGGATAACAATTGATTTTATATTTATAATATCCTTAATTTATGAGAATGAAGCACCTTCATGATGTCACTAAGTAAAGATATGAGTGCAATTGGCTAACTCTCTCTCACATAGTCGAGTGACTAGTGAAGGTTCAAATCTCACTAGAGATAAAATTTATATTTTTATTAATTATATTATATTTTTTTTGTAAAGTATTATTCAATAATTAAGTCATCATAATTACTCAATTATTAATCAAAATATTATCAACATGATTTATGAAGCATCGTTACCAACTACCAAATAATTTTAGATAAAAAGATTACAAATTTATTGATAAAATCATCTCTGATTGATTGACGAATGAATCATCATAAAGAAGAGGACAATTCATTAGGAGACGAGTCACCACCTCTTCAGATGATACAAAATATGATGAAGAACCTCTTCTTGTTGCACAAATCTGAGGATGATGGTCCCTAAGACATGCCCCACCTCTATCTAATTTATCTCTACTAAGTGACAATCATTGAAAATCTAAAAGTCATCGTATTTCTGTTCCACTATGTGACAACCACTAGAGATGATTTGTCAACTTATTTTCATTAATTTCTAAACTTCACAAGAAAATATAGATATTGTTCATATTGTGTATATCCAAAGATAGCCTTTGATGTCATGGACATCGCATGATAACCCTCCCAAATAAACAAAATTCTAATGATTGCTATTGTAAAGCTATAATTCTACTTTTCAAGCTTTGAACTTAATTTTAATTTAAATTAGTGAGATTTTAAGTAATTTTAAGTTTCAAAAATATTATTTATTTAATTACAATTCTTTTAGTTGTTACAAATCTTAATTTAATTAATTAAATCATACGTATTTATGTGAGAATCACCACATAGAATTATATTTCTGCCCGAATCACATTTGTCAACACACTAATGTCACTCTAACATCCACACCCAAATTTTTCTTTTTCACTCTTTTTTAAATAAATTTTATCTTCATCGTTTAGTTTAAAATCATAAAAGATTATATTCTTTGAGAAAAATTCTGAAATCTTACCAAATATTATCTTATATCCCTGTGATCAACTTGAAATTTTATTATTTTTTTGAAATATTTTAGTGAATTATAATTGGTTTATTTTTCCTGAAATATATCTAAAAATTTAAAAATGAGTATTTTTTAGTTTTAATAAATTTTAAATTTGCATTGTCACATGGTGATCTTGCTATTTTGAAGTTTTGTTAAGATGTCAAACCAACTTGTGCAATCCAAAGTGTTGGTGAAGCTGGATGAACTAAAGTACATACGTGGCACTTTGTTAATTATAATGTCTCCTTATTTTAGTTAATCATTTTGGTTTGACTGATAACTCGTGAAGAAAGCCCTTGATGAAATCACGCTTACCTAAATAAAATATGGAACTCACTTTCTGCTTTCTTCAATTTTGGTAGCAAAGGAATTATATATGATTTTCTATTTTGGGTTTATCTTCCTAGGAGAAAAGATTCGTGCATCCACGATGCTGCCCATAGAGCGGAGGGGGCAGTGCTGTCTCTCCCTCTCTCTCTTGCTCTCGCTCTCGAACTGAGCAAGAAGGTAAGGTCTTCCTCCTCTGAGGGAAGTTCACATAGTGGAACACAAGTATATATAACCACGTAAGGATTATGACGGAAATCTTGGACCCCAAAGCTTCTTATGCTTCAGAATTTGATAAACAAACCATGCCCCAAGATGCTAAGTATCATCGATGAGGAACCACATAGCAAGGTATCTGGATGACGAACAGACAAAATTGCAGATGCATATTCCCGTGATTTGGTGAATGTTTCCGCCTAAAGAAGTGTTGCCCAAGTCATTTCACCTTCTGCTCTGATTTCAAGGCCATTCAGCATCATCCATTCCCGCTGTGAACTCGTAAGAGAGGACAACGGAGACTGGGATAGAGAGAGAAATCATATGGTCAATTTGCGAAAAGGCTTATTTTCGTAGAGAGATTTTATACAATACCGTGAAAAGAAGAGGTTTTATGGCTCTTTGAGAAGAGGCCATTTATTAAAACCACGTAAAATCCTTGTGCCGCCTATATTGGACATTTAACTCTAACAAGGTCGAGGTGGCTACAGTGGTCCCAGAGGTGGAGGCGGTGGTTCGCCTAAAAAAGGTACAACAGAGCATCCTGTATGTGGCGGCGGTGTCCGCGGTGGCTGCGGTGGCCGCGATGGCCGCGATGGCCGCGGTGGACGTCCACGCTTCTTGTTGGACCGCCACCGGTCCGAGGACCAACACTCAGCTTCTTCCCTCCTCAACTTGGCCTCCACCAATGCTGAGTGCACCTTCTCATGCGTCGCGTGCTCAGGCCAGGCTCTGTAGATCGATGCCGCCGGAGAAGCCAGGACGATGCAGAGGAGAGCGAGGAGGATGACAGCGTTGCGCCGCATCACCGCCAGATCCATGGCAGAGAGGGGGGATAGCTGGGTCGTACGAAGGTAGTGAAGAAAGTTGAATGGAGATGATACTTTCCTAGCAGAAATGGGTAGAGAAATGAAGGAATAGTAGAAGAAGGGAGACGGGGAGAAATCAGGTCACTAGGGGCGAGGAATATAGGGGATGAGATCAAAGGAGGATGTGATAACACCAGACCGCGGACGGAGGGGAGAGGACCTTATAAATAGGGGGACGGCTTGCGCAGAAAAGTCACAGAATGAGAGACACAACGAGAGAGAGAGAGAGAGAGAGAGACCGAGAGAGAGGGAGGGAGAGAGAGAGATAGAGAGAGATTAACGCTAGTCTGACCTGAAGATGCTTTAATTATTTTTCAGTTAATACAATAAATTATAAATTAATGGCTACAATAATATCCCATCCCTCTCAGATCGGATAGCACCCAGCCGTGCAGTACCCCGGCTGTGGTTTTTCATACTCCAAGTCAACTCTCCCTACCATTTGTTATCCTTATGACATCATCGTTGACCGTGTTAAATAGAACAGCGATGTGGACCCATGTTAATCCCCAAGGGGAAGCTAACTGAGTGCGGTTTGGTGTTCCATGCTTCGCTTTGGTTCACGCTGTCTTGCCGATTTCACGTTTTAATTAACAAGATTCTAAATTACCCCATAAAAGTTGGATCTCCAAAATTCGCATTTCTCATGCTATATATGGATATTTAGGAGATCCACATGAGTAGCTAACACAGACTTACTTCAAAGTACCCATTTTTATTTTTTGGTTTTTTAATTTCGTCAATAAATCAGTTTCACATGGTGATCTTGCTATTTTGAAGTTTCACTCAGATCTCAGACCAGCTTGCGCAATTCAGGGTGTTGGTGAAGTGAGATGGCAAGTTTCCGACGTTGGCCGTTTCCTCTGTACTCTTCCATGTCCACCCAATTCAATGCCACCATTATACTTAGAGGTGAGCATCCTCTTCCATTGTCAGAGTTCTTGTTTCTCTCTACCATGATTATTCTTTCATCTTCGTCATGTCTGTTGTCAATACATAACTAAATTTGATTTGTTAGGCGAGAAGTACCTTGTTTTTTAGAGGAGCATTGAAATTTTGAAATATCAGAAGAGGTTGTTCATGAAAATATAAGAGGAAGAGTTTAATAAAGAAGACAGAAGTAGAAGGATCGTAGAAAGAAATGATGCCTATTTTGCAATCCCACTCAAGGGAGAAGTCATGGATTTCTATCTTGATCCTTAGACATTTGCTTGTATAATTAAGATATAAACGTGTGTACTAATAGGCAGTTTTAAAAGTTGAAAATAATTTTAAATATAACCAAAATGATCAAATGGTTGGCCACATCAAAATAAACAAGTACGCTAAAAAAGAATTTATCTCTTTAAAACTATATTTTATTCATAAATATTAATTCTATAGAGTGGTAGACTTCAATACAATATGCTGAATAGAGGTGAGCATTTGAATGCTGCCATAGGTCAGGTTCGCAGTTTATTGGTCATCCACAA